CGGGACGAAGCCAGGGGGCGGGTCGCGTGCGTCCCCCCGCGCAGTGCGCCCGCCCGGCCTGCGCCCGGCCAGAGGTGCGTCTGCGCCCTGGTCCCGCCCTCCCACGCGCTCGATTGGGCCTTTCCGGGGGTGTGTGGGAGGGGCGGGGCGCGCGCGGGGGACGCGGCGGAGATGGTACGGTCCACCCCGGCTGCCAGCCCCACCCCCCGGCGGTTCAAGTTTCTGCGCCCGGAGGACGCGGCCGCGGCCAATCCCCGGGCTGCAGGGCGCTTTTAAAATGCAGGTAGGGCTGCGGGCAGGGGGCGGTGGGAAAGGTAGGGCAGGGCCGCCCTTAAAGGGGACGCATGGCTCCGGGCGCCGAGTCCCCTCCCCTCCCCACGGCGCCCCCGCCCTCCTGCCTCCGCCCCGATAAACAAATACCCGTGATCTGGAGACGTGTCCCCTTCTCCCTCTCGAGGGCACCTTAGTTCAGCCGGGTCTTAGATATGACAAACAATGGCACTCTGGCCCGGGGGTCGTCCTCCCTGGAGGCTGGGCCGCTCTTTGTCCCCTTCTCTGACCCCGGCGCCTTTGCCGCCGCCCCCACTGGGTTCCCCCCGGAGCGGGCAGCGTGTCCCTCGGAGCGCGGGGCTGTGCAGCAGTGTGGCACCGGGCGGCAGGACGTGCCAGCCGAGTCCCGGGCGAGCCCGTGCGCTCGGCCCTGTCCCGGGCTCCGAACCCCGCGCCTGCAACCCTGTTTCCCCCCACCCCTGCCGCTCGTGCTCAGATCTCGGGGACATTTGAAATTCCCGAGCCCGGGACCGCAGAGAGAGCGTAGGGGGGGCCCCGCCGGGGCGGGAGCGCGAGCGCCCGCGGACCCCCTCCGCGCGCAGCCTGGCGGGGACGCGGGCCTACTCGCAGCCCGAGATGTCGCTTTATCCTACGGTCCCTGCTGCGCACTGAAGCGCGTCGGCTGCGAGCCGGACCCAGGGGGGCTTCTCTCCCCCGGAACCCGGAACGAGATCCCAGCAGCGCGCGGCCCGGAGCGCGCGCCCACCAAGCACCGCTCATCCATTCATTCAGCGGCTGCGGACCCGGCGCGGGAACCAGGCAGCCGAGGCTCCAGCCTTCGGGGAGGGGGAGAGGGAGGCAGATAGGAAGCTGGAAGCGGTGAGCAGTCCTACGTGCAGTGCGAGGGATTAAGAGCCGCCGCTGCCACCAAGCGATGACGGTTTACTTTAAATCCGGGGTCAGGGAGGGCCTCGTAGGAGGTCTGTCTAAGCTAAGATCTGAGAGGCAAGCGGGACAAAGAAGGGAAGGGCCTTCCTGAGTGCGCCTGCCGGGTCAGCGGGCCGTGGGGGTCAACGGGCCGGAGGGCGGGGGTGACATCAGAGGCTCGGAGGAGGGGCGGGCAGGGTCAGGCGAGATTGGGGAGCGCATTAGAGGGCCTGATGTGGGGGAGGGTAATCCACCTCCAGAGCGTAAAGACGGATTGGAGAAGCCCCAAGGGGTGTAGATTCAGCCCGCTGTCCCCACCCCCGCTGCCTTCACTGACAGGAGAAGGACTTGGAGGCCGAGCTGCTAAGTCAGGCTCCAGGGACGACGTTGAGGACACCCAGAATCAAGCCGCCAGCTTTCGTGTATGGGGTCAGCTTCAACATGGGGAAACTGTCTTGCAGGCCTCGGCTACCCTTGCAGAGTGGCATTGGTGTCCGCTCAGCTCTCAGGTTATAGGTCTGTCTGGACCCCAGGAAGCCCGATGACCGGCGCCTGCTGCCCCTGCAAGACTGGTCGGTACAGGCAGCACAGCTCTTCTGGGAGGGCAAGGGTTAAGCATCTGATACCAGATCCTAGGGAAACTGCAGAGAGGTTAATGCTGCACTGGGACACACACACACACACACACACACACACACCCCAGTGCTGGCCTTGTCAGTTCTGGTGACCACATTCAGTCCCCTGACACCCAGGCTGGCTGCTTCCACTGAACTTTCCGAAAGTAAAACCATCCTCTGGGCAAGGGACTGTTTGCATCTTCTATGGGCTGGCAGTCCCAGGGCCCCCGGACTGTGCCAATGTCCTCCAGCCTGTCAGAAACACCTGCTCCAGGGGCCCCACACCACGGCCAGTGGGGAGCCAGAGATCTCAGACCAAAATGCCAGAGCCCCCACTGCGGCCCCTCTTGTGGTCAGAACGTACCCGAGAGCACACACTCTGAGCCCGGAGCTTTGGGGCCTCCTATGTCTGCATCTGGTCCCCTGCAGGGACTTTACAAGCAGGAAAAGCAAATCCTTGATCCCAGCACCCTTGATTCTCTGCCTAAGTGCCTGGTACCTGAAGACCTTTAATTAAACCACGCACACACCTCTATTTTTTCCCTCCCTAGAATCTCCTAGCTCTGGTGGCCTAGTGGTAAGGAAGTGCACTGCCAACCCCCAGGCACCCCTTTTTGAATCCACCTCAGGAGAAGGATGGACAGTCTCCTCCCGTGGGATTTACTGCCTCTGAAAACCCACCGGAGGGTCAGCTGTGGGTCAGTTCCAACCCAACAACACACAACAATAGCAACAAGTATGTAGTTATGAAAATGAGTGCAGGTGTCTGGAATCCGGGTTTATAAGACATACAACAGCAACACACTGCTCTGAATCTGAATGTCTCTGTTAAAGCCACATGGGATGTGAGAACCACTGTGTAACCCCGTGGCAGAGAGACCATTGCCAAGGGCAGGAGTTGGGAGGGCAGAGGGGACAGGACAGAAGAGCTGAGATCTCCCAGCATCCACAACATCACCCCCTGGATCTGAGCACTCCTTCCTAAGAAGAAGAAATAGCCTGGAACAAAGGACCTGCCCAAAGTCTTCATCCACTGTTTACATGCCCTGAGCACCTGCGATGGGCTCCAGGGACGACAGGAACACACACGTTCCAGGTGCCTCCTGCAGGGGCGGCACACACAGGCACAGGGTGGGTGCACGTCCAAGCACAATCCACTGACTCCTAACCTGAAGGCCAGCGTGGAACTGCCCACAGGGCTTCCCAAGGCTGTGAATCTTTATGGACTACCACATCACCCCCCAGTGGAGCAGCTGGTGAGCTCAAACCCTCAGCCTTTTGATTAGCAGCCATACACTTAAATCACTTCACCACCAGGGCTCCTCATACGTGCAGATGCACTTACGGATGTGCTGTGGTAAAGCGTGGTCCTGTCAAGCTGCCTCCAGCACAGAGGGGCCATTGTGCACAACAGACCGAAACTCTGCCTGGCTCTGAGCCGTCCTGGGTGCATGCACTCCCAGTCCTGAGTCAGAACCCACACACAGCTGACCCTGCAGTGGGCTTCCGGAGGCTGTCAATCTCTGGGGCGGGGGAGGGAAGAGTGCCCATCCTCCTCCTGAGGAGCAAGTGGTGGATTTGAACCACAGGAGGGGCTGCCTTGGGATAGCAGCGTAACTCCCTAAGGACGAGACCAACCAACATCAACTTGTGTGCATACGTGCAACACGAGGAGCTCTGTGGGCTCCGTGCAATGCTTGACGTGCAAACCTGCTCGCCCTGGGCAACGGTCACCAGCTCATGCCATCCTGCCAGGTCTGGGGCATTGGGGAGAAGGTGGACTCTGGGCTCTTCCCTCCTCTCATCTGATTGTCACCACAGCTGAAGGCAGCAAGCAATCAGGACAAAGGCAACGGGGAGCTTTCTCCAGGCAGTGCTGTGCAAGAATGCTGAGTGGATTCCCACACCGAACCCTCATATTATTCTTAAGAGGTGTTGTCGCCAAGTATGACTCAAAGCAAGCCTGGAAACAGCAGATCTGGGCTCTGTCCTATCCTGTGCCAACCTGACAATCTCTGACACATTCAACCCCACTGTTGTAGTTACCGTGTCAGCCCAGCTGGGTGAGGGTCGTCCTCTCCTTCAGCGTCCCTCCAACCTTTCCAAACATGATGTTCCTCTCCAAGGGATAACCTGTCCTAACAACATGTCCAAAGGATGTGAGA